TCTGGTCCCGCCTCTAAACTGTCAATTAACTGGTATACAGATTCCTCAGCCTATTGGGTTCTATTATATCTACATTTGAAACTGTATGGAGTTTGTCCACATCACTTCCAAATGCATTCCATTTGTTAACTACCCTGACTGAAAAAAATCTATTGTCTCTGTGGCTCATTTGGGTACTTAGTTTCCACCCGTGTCCCCTTGTTCGTGTTCCACCCATTCTCAATAGTTTCTTTGTCCATCCTGTCAATTCCTCTATGAATCCTGTAGGTAGTAATCATGTCTCCACTTAGTCTTCTGTTTTCCAGGGACGTGAGGTTAAACTCCCATAGACTTTCCTCGTAGTTCATACCTCTCGGTTTTGGGACTAGTCTGGTGGCATACCTCTGAATCTTTAACTTTCTCTTGTGTTTAACTAGGTATGGACTCTAGGCTGGAGCTGCATACTCCAGGATTGGTCTGACATAACTGGTATACAAGGTCCTGAACGATCTTTTACACAAGTTTCTAAAGGCAGTTCTTATGTTGGCCAATCTAGCATATGCCGCTGATGATATGGGCTTCAGTGCTCTCTGTACCTATGACACTTCTACTCTTCACTGGCTCTGATCTGCATTTCCTTCCGTATCTTTCGCTAACTGTATCTAGGTTAATCAATATAACAAATATTTGATATATTGCAATTATTTAAATATAAATGAAAGTATACATTTGCAACAGATAAATTCATAGTAGTAAAGAATTACCCAAGCTTGTCGTTGTTTATAATATAATTCATATGTGGCAATCAAGAGGATGGGCTAAAATAATTTATAACCGTATCAGTGCTAGTTACATTATTTATATTTTACCGAGCGGTAATATGGTAATTTTCATCCGATAGGTAAATGACAACAGGTAATGACGTAAGTTCATTACGGGGTCACCATAGCCCGTGCTACTTGGAACTTGTTTCGAGTAGTTGAATCTATAACAACGACAGCAAGAAAGCAACAGTTTCCTAGAGGCCACTGGATATGACTACTGTCAACAGCTAAGTCTGCTCTTATGTTAGTAAATCTTTATTTTAGGGAGTCAGAAATTTAAAAACATACAAGATTATACCAACAGTTTAGGTGCTTTATCGTGTGTATGCGTGCCGTGTATGTTCTCTCTATTCCCTCTATTTCAGCAATCTCTCCTGCTCGGAATGAGGACGTGAATACTGAGCAGTACTCACGACGGGACAGCACAAGTAATTTGAATAGTACAACCATTGTGATGGGATCTCTCGAGTTGAATGTTCTCGTAATCCATCCGATCATTTTTCTGGCTGCCGCAATATTTGCTTGGTTATGCTCCCTAAACGTTAGGTCGTCAGACATCATTATTCCCAGACCCTTTTACACGCTGCTCTCCCATTACAGCAGATGCTTCTGTGTTTTGTTTCCTGTATTTGTTTAAAGTCTCTATTTTTACCATACCTAACGTACCTGGAATTTATCTAAGTTGACCATGTTATTTTTTACTGCGCCATCGAAGACTATTAATATCAGTTTCTAATATCAGCTACTGTTACTGTAACAATTACTGTTACGATCACTATTGTTGTCATAACTACTGCTGGTAATAAAATTACTACCCACTTAAACCCGCCAAACACATACTGAAACTACGACGTTGCTACAACGTTCGAACAAGTTTTAACACCACTTACCCAGTTATAACAACCAATATAGCAAGTTGTAACAACGTTCTAATACGTCATAAACACGTTAAGCCAAGATGTAACAACTTTATTACAAGTTGTAACAAGCGGAAAATAGAGACAGTTACGGTTTGTGTTTCCAGGGTTTATGCCACACGTACGAAACAGGATAAAAAATGTTTGATATTTGCAACTGAAAACATCGGTGAAGAAAGACTTCACTAAACATCACTGGTGAGAAATGACACTTGCTAGAACCCATACCAATTACTCTAAGCATTTACTAAACAAATTACGAAACCTCTACATCGTCTCTAAATCATGGCGGCTCTGTTTACATTTCTTAAACACTTTAGGTTATATAGTTTCGAAGCTCGTTAAGTTATTAGTGGTTTAAATAGCTCCGTATCGCTTCGGAGCTTGCAAATTATTTAATAAATGTAAACTAAGCCACCACTTTTGAGAAAAGATGTACAGGCTTCGCAGGTGGATAGCAAATGTTTGATGAATCATGGGCCAAGAGAACAATTCAGGCGACGATCTGCGACACATTCAAACACACACACACAGGAATCTGTACACCTGTTGATTGACGGTTGAGAGGCGGGACCAAAGAGCCAGAGCTCAACCTCCGCAAACACAACTAGGTGAGTACACACACACACACACTTATCTTGAGATGATTTCGGGGCTTAGTGTCCCCGCGGCCCGGTCCTCGACCAGGCCTCCACCCCCAAGAAGCAGCCCGTAACAGCTGTCTAACTCCCAGGTACCTATTTACTGCTAGGTAACAGGGGCATCGGGGTGAAAGAAACATTTTGCCCATTTGTCTCCTCCTCCGCCGGGGATCGAACCCGGAACCTTAGGACTACGAATCCGAAGCGCTGTCCACCCAGCTGTCAGGCGCCCAGCTTAGGCAATACTTATGCCACAGTAAGCAACACAGTATGACCTCATCCCCCCCAAGACACTGGGGGACACGCGACGTAGATGGTGGTGTTGGTACAGTTACTGAAATATTCGCTGCCAAATCTGCTTATTACCAACATGTATCAAAGGCCTCGTAAGCGTAGGACACGCTGGGGAAAACGCTGGAGAACCATGGATGTTCCGTACGTTCACTGTATTTGCCACTCCGTAAAAAATACAACTGTTACGTCTAACCAAGCAAACCACTTGGCATATCGATGCCGATGCATAGAAAACGTCAAAATTACGATGCTTTAATTTTTACCAATACAAAATATTTTTACGAATTGGTGGATTCCGTAAAATAATGCGACCTATTAGGCTCGAGGGCCGGTGGGACGGGGGGGGGGGGGGGAGGGAATATTAGCGCGAGGAATCCCAGGTACTAGATTTACGAAGCAGTTACGCAAACAGTTACGCAAGCAGTTACGAACCTGTGCAACTTTTCTCAATCTTTGACGACTATTATTAAACAGTTAATGAGCTCCGAAGCACCAGGAGGCTGTTTATAACAATAACAGTTGATTGGCAAGTTTTCAAGCTTGCAAACTGTTTTACAAAGGCGTCAATGATTGAGGAAAGATGTACACGTTCGTTAAGTACTTGCGTAACTGCTTTGTAAATCTAGTCCCTGGAAGACATGGAAGCAGCGACCTTCCTCTGGATGGCTGGTGGACAGTCGTCCTCCACAACTCGTCAGCTCGTGTTCCAGGAATTAATGAGAAAATTTGACAGTTTAAAACCCGGATAAATGAGCGTCGAGGCTGCGGTCTTGACCTCTGACCTCTCTCCGCCCACACCTGATAACAAAGGGAAACAAAACATGACTAATCTGAAAGTCTGAAGCTGAAATTGAAAGTTGGGTTAATAATTCCCACCAGAAGTGTTGATGTATACGTACACGATCGTGACTTTTAATCTATAAATATTCTCATACAAAAGTCCATTGTTGTGTGTCGGCTTGTGTTGCTCGACGTAATATCTAAGCCCGTCCTCTAAAAATGGGGAGGTAAATGTAACAGCCCTATAAGTGCAATTATGTACTATGTATGACAATCAGGAAATGTACTTATTACTCTTAGTATTATAACGTACTGTCAATTCGGAGGATGGGTTGAATATCTAAGCTAATGCCCGACACGGCAGTTATACAGCTCAAGATTTAAACATGAACAAGCATCAATGATCTGTTAACCAGGATTTGTTGAGCATTTACGTGGCCAATCATGGGACCTGTTTATCTTTCCTCCATCATGGCGGCTTTGTTGACATTTGTTAAAACAGTTTATGAGCTCTGAAGCGATGAAAGATCGACTATAATAGCAATATCACTGCGTTGAGAACGACCGTAAACTGTTTACTAAACTGTTTAGTAAATACGGACTATGACGAGTGAAGATGCACAGGTTTCGTATGCGTAAATACTTCACGAATCCTGAACCCCGCACACAATGATTTTTTTTTCGTAAAAGATCTTACCTGGCGAGGCTTAACGCAACATACCTTGCAAGCTTGTCATATCTAATGAAACATAACTTAAGTGACACGAGAGAATCTTTGTGGGAGACTTATGGACCAGCGTCCTGGGTCTCCCCAAACGTTTGGGTCTTCCCCTCCCCTGGGTCTCTTCACATTAACCCTTGGACTCAGAACGCGGGTTCGATCCCGCCGCCCTGCTCCGAAGATCTTCTCATATATACATCACGTCATTGTTATTACATGGTGTATTTCACGAAGCATGTTTTTCATATCATTTCATATATATAACATTAACTGAATTAGTGAATATTTTGAGACTGTGGTTAAACGTTCCACGAGTGAGGGAATTATCAGGGGAAAGCTCCAAGCCATTATGACTATATAGCACTGGGAAGGGGCCAGGATAAGGATTTGGGATGGGACGAGGGGAAAGGAATGGTGCCCAACCACTTGGACGGTCGGGGATTGAACGCCGACTTGCATGAGGCGAGACCGTCGCTCTACCGTCCTTAACAGAATAAAGACCCTTTCTCCTGGGAAAAAAACAGGCACTTCTTCAGCCTCGGAATACAAAAATTAGAGTTAACAGCAAATACGCGATATCCGCTCAGAAATGTTTGTATTTTTTCTTCAAATACTCATCATCTTTGTGTAAATATTTGACCTCGTTCACCGGGCTTTCAGTTAGTGTGAGCGCACCACAAACAATGGCCTTTTATTTTTGTTCAACAGTAAGGTAATGTGTAATAGTCAAAATAAAATCCGGACCATCAACCGTGAAGAGCTCAGTCCCCCAAGGTACTGTGCTTGCTCCAGTACTTTCTCTCATCCTCATATCGGACATTGACAAGGACACAATCGATAGTACTGCATCATCCTTTGCAGATGACACTGGGATTTTCATAAGAGTAGACACCATAGAGAACACAACAAACCTCCAATCAGATGTAAATCTGGTCTTTCGATGGGCTACAGAAAATGATATGGTATTTAATGAAGATCCAGCTTCTGCGCTACGGAAAAAATGAAAATATAAAAACGGAAACCATGACCAAAACGCAGTCAAATCATAACATAGAACGAAAAAGCAATGTAAAGGATCTGGGTGTACTCATGTCGGAAGACCTTTCCTTTAAAAAACAAAGTAGCTGTCACAACTGCAAGAAAAATGACAGGTTGGATAACAAGAACCTTTCACACTAGAGATTCTGTACCGATGATGATACTTTTCAAGACGCTAGTGCTCTCTAGAGTGGAATACTGCTGCACAATGACAGCCCCTTTCAAAGCTGGAGAAATTGCTGACCTGGAGAGCGTGCAGAGATCCTTTACTGCTAGAATCCACTCAGTAAAACATCTAAACTACTGGGACCGACTAAAGAGCCTAAACCTGTATTATCTTGAGCACAGGCGGGAGAGATACACAATTTACACGTGGAAAATATTAGAGGGGCTGGTCCCAAACCTGCACACACAAATAACATCACATGAGACCAGGAGGCATGGCAGGATGTGCAGAATATCCCCGTTGAAAACCAGAGGTGCAACAGGTACTCAGAGAGCAAACTCATTTCCACATTACCTTGGCTTACACACACACACACACACACACACACACCGTTTGTTAACGAAATAAAAAACAATTATAGGAATATGTTTATTAAAACAAAACATACAGATAATAAATTAACAAATCACTGGATGAGTGAAGAATCCAGAAATCTTTGGGCAAATATTTTCTCCCTGTGCAGGTGGTCAAAGACCATGGCGGCCTTCAGCAAGTCTTCGGTCTCGTGACACCTTCTGGTAAAGCGGCGGCGTTCTGTGCCGGCGGTAATCCACATGACGCCAGCTTTCCTAACCTGCCAACTCTCGTACGGCCAATCATCGAAGTCGTACACCGTCCAAATATTTCTGGCGAAGCGGACACGCTTAGGTTTCTTCTTGTGTTTAGAACGACCTTTGTCTCCGGAGTCATTTTTCTTCTCCATACTGACTGGACTTGTACCAGAGCATTGTTGAGGCCTGAGGCAACAGGGAATTATCTTGGAAAAGCACCAAAACATAGTGCTTATATGACCTACCTGAGGGAAGGCTGTCACACTATGAACCAAAAGAAGTCATTTGATAATGATATACCAGATGAAAGAATTATAGTCAGGCCTATAGTTAGACTGGTTTAGTAAGTGCGGTGCCTTGTTGTAGTGATGTACTCACATCTTACGTCTTTTACATTTAAATAAGATTCCTTTGTTAACTTTATCTATTCTCTTCAAGAGCTTGTACGTAGTTAATATATTCTCTCCCTCCCTCTCTCTCTCTTTCTCTCTCCTCTAAGATTGTTCTCTCAGCCTGTTCCCAAAGCTGAGGCCTCTCAATTCTGGTACTAATCTTGGGGCAAACTTCTGAACTTTTTTTCAAGTTTCTATTTATGCTTCATAAGATGTGGGTTTCCTGCTGTCGCTGCATACTCCGGTAATGATCTCACATATGTAGTATGTGTGGATTTGAAGGCCTCTTTGTTTTAGATTCTTAAATGACGCCCTCATGTTCGGTGACTTCCCATATGGTGCTAATGATGTCCTGTTCACATGAGTTTTGTGGTGTTTAGTGTTTGGATAATGTCTACTCTCAGGTATTTTTCACTTTTTTTTTAAATTACCTTCCATTATAGTACAGCTAAATACAGGTTTCCTGTGTCCCTTACCCATTTTCATTATTTTGCACTTATATATATTGAATTCCAGCAGCCAGTAATATTGAAGTTTCCTCTTAATGATGAACAGTAAACACGTGTATGACTTGAATAGTAAACACACAATCGACTTGAGAATGGTCCAGGACGGACCGAAACGTCGTCGTCCCTTCACCTTCTAGTGTGTGGTCTGGTCAACATACTTTAGCCACGTTATTGTGACTCATCGCCTGCACGTGTATGATAAAAGGCAGTGTATGATGATGTGCTCCCCCATATAGTAGGTACTGTGACCTAGGGTGTGACCTAGGTACTGTGACCTAGGGTGTGACAGGATGTGACCTAAAGCACAGGAGGCATATCCACTCTTTATTAACTAGCGAGTGATATGGGCAAACCTCCATGTTAAATTTATTTCCCAAAACAACGTGAACTATTGTATGGCTATATTCACAAGACCTTCCCTATTAATGATAGGTTGATGATGTTGGGCATTAAGAACAATAGGTATGACCAATGTACTGAAATTGAGAATACTATGCATATATTTTGTGTGTGTTAGCAGAAAGTTGTTCTTGTAAAGTGGATTACAGACACAGTGCATCAAGTATAACATTTGGGGTTTACGGCTCAAGCTCGGTGATATGGAAAATTGGTTTACTGAGAATGATATAAAACATAATTGTAGTATTTTCCCTTGTAAATTGATGTAAATATGATTTTATATTGTATTATTCAATAAAAAAAATAAATTCTAGCAGCCAAAAGTTTGTTATGGTCTCCCTATAGTCCTCTTCAGTTCTTACTCTTCTCGTTAACTTTAATTATGTAAACAGACATCTTCGAGCTCACTCCGTGTTGTGTGGTGTAGTGTAGTGTAGTGGTGGTGGTGAAGTGTAGGGTAGTGGTGGTGGTGAAGTGTAGTGGTGGTGGTGAAGTGTAGGGTAGTGGTGGTGGTGAAGTGTAGTGTAGTGGTGAAGTGTTGTGTTGTGTAGTGGTGAAGTGTAGGGTAGTGGTGGTGGTGAAGTGTAGTGGTGGTGGTGAAGTGTAGGGTAGTGGTGGTGGTGAAGTGAAGTGTTGTGTAGTGTAGTGGTGAAGTGTAGGGTAGTGGTGGTGGTGAAGTGTAGCGGTGGTGGTGAAGTGTAGGGTAGTGGTGGTGGTGAAGTGTAGTGTAGTGGTGAAGTGTAGTGTAGTGGTGAAGTGTTGTGTAGTGTAGTGAAGTGTAGTGTAGTGGTGAAGTGTAGTGTAGTGGTGAAGTGTGGTGTAGTGGTGGTGAAGTGTAGTGTAGTGTAGTGAAGTGTAGTGTAGTGGTGAAGTGTAGTGTAGTGGTGAAGTGTAGTGGTGGTGAAGTGTAGTGGTAAAGTGTAGTGTAGTGAAGTGTAGTGTAGTGTGGTGGTGAAGTGTAGTGTAGTGTAGTGTGGTGGTGAAGTGTAGTGTAGTGGTGGTGAAGTGTAGTGTAGTGGTGGTGAAGTGTAGTGTAGTGGTGGTGAAGTGTAGTGGTGCGTTGTGTAGTTAAGTATTTAGGGAAGATGGCTACAGTTACGAGGCTGGTCGAGTACAGTGTAGACGGTTACAATGTTTCAGGTTGTGTGAAGTAAATACGGTTAGTGATGATGGTTGTGAGTAGTTAAGATGATTACAGTGGTGAAGATAGTGCGTAGCAAATATGGTTAGTGATGATAGTCATTTGTAATGAAGATCGACACAATTGACGACTGTGTTGTAAAGTTACAGTGATGATGATGATTACAGTAACGATAGTGGGTAGTGAAGATGGTTACAGTGAAGAGGGTTGGTGAGGATAGCGTGCGTAGTGAGGATAGCGTGCGTAGTGAGGATAGCGTGCGTAGTGAGGATAGCGTGCGTAGTGAGGATAGCGTGCGTAGTGAGGATAGCGTGCGTAGTGAGGATAGCGTGCGTAGTGAGGATAGCGTGCGTAGTGAGGATGATAGTAGTAGTAGGCATCCATCTGTCTCAGGAGACTATGGAGTTACTCTCTGGAGTGGCCTCTCCAGGGCGCAGAGCCATGGTGGGTTGATACAGGGGAGAAGCTGTTACCCATGCAGCAGGTCCCCCCCCTCTCCACGGCACCGAAAGTCTCTAATGGAAAGGCAAACGCCAATATGATTGGTTCCAGCGCCGTCGCAGGATTTGTCAGAACGAGGTTGAAGGCAACAACGAACTGCCTTAGGGGCTCCGGAGTTTTCCTCGACAATACATATCCTTCATGAATATGGTGAAAATAGTGTGTAGTGAAGGTAATGTGTAATGAAATGGTTAAATATTAAGGTGGCGTATAGTGAGGATGGGTAGAGGGATGAAGATAGTGTGTGTAGCGATGCTAGATGAATCTTATTGAGGATGGAGTCTGGTATTAAGCGAGGTTGAAAATTAGTGTAATTTGCCATTTCATGCCCAAGTGTTTGGGGGCTTAATGGGTGTATGACCTCGACCCGCCTATGACTATCCCTATACAAAGACCAGTTAACCTGCAAATTTTGGCGAGACTAGCCCAAACGTCTGGCCCCCAACTTCGAATAGAGACGTTGTATTCTATATAAATATAAATACTAAGAAGGATACACAGCAGTGCCTGGGATAGCCTATCTTTACCCCCCTCCCCCCACCCCCCCAACCACTTGGACTGGACGGTAGAGCGACTGTCTCGCTTCTTGCAGGTCGGCGTTCAATCCCCGACCGTCTAAATGGTTGAGCACCATTCCTTCCCTCCGTCCTATCCTAAATCATCATCCTGATCCCTTCCCAGTGCTATATAGTCGTAATGGCTTTGTGCTTTATCCTGATAACTACCTACCTTACCCTCCCCCCAACCTCCCATCCCATATTCCACCCCACTTCCCCTCTTTTCCATCCTCTCTTCCCCCTCCCCTTACCCTTGGCTTATCTTGAGGTTATCTTGAGATGATTTCGGGGCGTAGCGTCCCCGCGGCCCGGTCCTCGATCAGGCCTCCTTTTTATTACACACCCCCAGGAAGCAGCCCGTAGCCGCTGTCTAACTTCCAGGTACCTATTTACCGCAAGGTGAACAGAAGCATCAGGGTGAAAGAAACTTTGCCCATTTGTTTCCGCCTCCACCGGTGATCGAACCCGGAACTTCAGGAGTACAAATTCGAAGCGCTGTCCACTCAACTGTCAGGCCCTCAGCTGGGCTGGACAGTAGAGCGACGGTCTTCCTTCATGCAGGTCGGCGTTTAATCCCCGACCGTCCAAGTGGTTGAGCACCATTCCTTCCCCCGTCTCATCCCAAATCCTTATCCTGACCCCTTCCAAGTGCTAATGGCTTAGCGCTTTCCCCCCTTATAATTCCCTCCCTCCCTCCCTCTACCCTTCCCATTTTGGGCAGACGTATGTATATATATCTATTCCTATAAGAGAATGTCTGTCCAAAGTTGGAGGTATATTCTCGAGGTTAGTCTCACCCAAATTTGCAGGGGAAATGGTTTTGGGTATGGGATAAACATAGGCTGGTAGAGGGTAGGCGTTGAAAAAAATTAGCAATTATAAACAATAATGTCATTTTCGTGGTCTTACGGCGTCAAAAGTAAAATATGGCGTGTGATTAACGTGGAGTTTAACACAGACGGTCCGCCCGCTGAGCACTCCAGGTGCAAACTTTGCGAGCAGGAACTGCGGCATAATTTCCTACACTACATCACTGAATGCCCAGTAATTAGACCTTTCAGACCAGTTGGCATGAGGTACCTGGAGCTTTGCAATTACTTTATTCACTCTCGTATTCTTGAAGATATCCTCACAGTGTACCCAAAATTTGCCAGTGCCGGCTACTAAACATATGGCCCTGTATGACTAACCATCCTGCGAGATGGGGACTTTTATTACCACTGCTACCTTATTCAATCTTGTGTTGATGATATCCTCAAAAAACACCCAAAGTCTGCCAGTGCAGCTTTCTGATCACATGCCTCTGTATGACTAACCATCCTGTGTGATGGGGATTTTTTAGCATCACGTAGCTAGTTTTTTGACACACTGTACTCCCCTTCATATAGTCTAGGGTAGCTGCACAAATGCACAAATACCTAAATGTGTTAATAAAAAAATTACTCGAAAACCATGAACTGGGTTTATTCAGGTTACAGTGATGAAAGTTGTGAGAAGGGAAGATGGTTACAATGATGAAGATGGTGTATACAGTGATGATAGTACACACAGTCTAGGTGTACTCACAGCTAGGCGAGTACAACTAGGTGAGTACAGAGAAGAGGTAAGATGATTGGAGAGGGGCAGACGGAGAAGAGGAGATGAGAGGGGGGACAAAGGAATGATGAGTGGAGAGGCAGGAAAGTGGGATGAAGAGGGGAGAGAGGAATGAAAAGGGAAAAGGAAGAGGGCGGGTGAAATGGAAGGAAGAGCAAGAATGGGTAAAGCAGAAAAAAGGATAGAAAGGTGGGAAGGAGAGGGGGGGGGGGGTAGATGAGAGGATGGAGAGGGAAGGAATGGAAAGG